CCCCCCCCCCTCCTCTGCCATACATCATGAACGTAGCCTATAAGTCTGTGGGATTTCAAAACATTGGTATTATTTGACTTGTACATTCTTTACATTACAGAACTTTTGCAAATGATTTGCTCTTAAACGAGGCTAAACCTGTACGATTAAGTCTTTAGTCATAGAATACAGCGGTGTTTCTCTTGGCATCATACTATACACAGCACAAGCAGCTGATCTGAAATAGTGACGTAGAAATGACATCACTGCAAAACGGAGGTGTCATCATTAATCCTGCGAAAATTGACCAGCAAAAAATAAAAACATGTCCGCCATTGCGACAAAAATATAAGACCCATCAATAATTGTGTCACTGTTACTTAGCAAATAGACATCAGATTTTTATGTGTCTGTCCTCTTATTGACGATAAATTGCGTCATCACATTGTCAAAGTAGTGTGTATTCACAAGGCGTAGCCGAGTCCAAGTGGCTCCGCATACTACTTTGACAATGTGATGACGAAAGTTATCATCAATAAGAGGACAGACACAAAAAACTGATTTCTATTTGTTTTTTACAATAACAAGAACGATAAAAACTTCTCATTTTTAGCGATCAAAACAACCAACGGAAAGAGCGCGCGCTCATTGACGTCAGCTTTATCTGTCTGTCCTCTTATATATTGATGATAAAAAAAATCCAATCAGCGCGCGAGAAATTTGTAAGTTATTGTAAAACAAGGGCTTGAATTAAGGCTTTTTTATTTGTTAGCCTGGAAATTCACGATTTCAAGAGGAAAAATGACACCGCCAGTTTTGCAAATTTTCTCGATTCTCATTGGCCTTTTTTTTCAGATCAGCTGCATATACGCCATGTTTTGCTACATTCTTATCACATTGATAAATAGATCTGATAGTTTTTATAGTTCTGATAGCATGTCGTATAACCGTTAGAGTCGCTTCTTACAGGATGATTGAAATGCTTCCCTAGATTTGCATGCCTCGGCGACACAAGAACAAGCAGTTACGATTAGTATGATCTGATAGCTGAGTTTTTGGTAGCATCTCTTAAAACCTTGCAGGAGGTTCGAGTTGCTTTTTCAGGCCGCGTGAAGTGCTTTCCTAAAACGTGCCTCAGGAAAACAAGCACGAATGAACAGTTGCGCAAAATTTAGTATGTTAGATGATGCAGTTAGTCGTGAAAATTCAGTCCAAGTACCTCTGACACATTTCTATTAGCTTAGTCATTTTTAGTAATGTGTAACAGCCAGGCTTTTACCTTACATTGGCTTAAAGTGCGCGCGCGTTTTGATCGTTTCAGGTGACAATGGAGCCAATAACTGTTGCATTAATCAAAATTATTGCTAAATATTAATGCTTTAGAAAGAGTATAGATTCTTTGTTAAACGGTTGCGCATGAATGATACATGAATATGCATACAACCCAAATAAAGAATCTTATTTAATCTTATTCTGCGTTTTCTGCATGAAATGGGAACTGAACTTTAGACCCGAGGTAAAGAGGTCTATAATGTAAAAACTACCAACTTCTTATCTTATGAATAATCAAATGTCATTTTAGCCGCCCGTTAGAACTAATAAAGCAGCTAGCTTTATTAAACCAGCACGAAGAGATCGATTACCAGCGAAGTCGAAATTAATATAATTGGTTTCGTTGTCATCGAAGCTATTTATGAATGCCGCTGTACGCCAAGCCTTAAGCTAAATAACAATTAGTCGAATTCAAATACTGCTATATAACTCTATCATCGATGCTGGGCGTGCGTTCTGATTGGATGAGCTACTACTAGGTTATAAGTTATAGCTTATGCGTCAATAACCCATTTGGGCTCAAGGACTAATTGCTAATTATCTTTCGCCCTCATGGTGAGACCGAAAGTCAAATTGCCCATTTAAAACCGCGTGACAAAATTCCCCTGAGAATTGTTCTTTTATGATGAACATTCTAAAATATAACAGTTACCTCTCATGGTCTGAAATGGTACAACGAAGAGGTATATTAAGATAGAGTCCATTTAACTTATTCAAAGCCCTACAGCAAGGTCAATTAACACGTTAACATCACTTTGAGTGTATTTCACTGTCAATCTTAATTAATATTTCAGTCCATATTGATGCTACTTCCATTAAACTTCGGTAAAGTCCGGTAATCATGAATAAGCATAAAAGTTGGTATTATAGATTTCCTTGTTTCCAACTGAGTTGACTGTACTTGGGGGGAGTGTATCCAACTGAGATAATGACTTGGTTCTGCACCGGCTCATATTTAGAATGATAATTGTGTCTTTCAAGAACTTTTAAAGAACTTGGGACATGATTGGTTATGCAGAGCACCCACTTTGTACATGATTGGCTATGAGTACCTCTTGAATTTGGGCTATCAGTT